GCCACGAATGTTTTTCCCATCGCGTCCGGGACCAACTTCTGCTCTGGGCCATGTGCCGCCTTGTACACAATACGTTCCACTACGGCCGCACGGCGCGCTCAGACTTGTGTCCTTCCTCATTACGTGCGCAAGTTGTGTTGGCCACTCATTTGTAAACTGCTCGAGTATTATCATACATAGCGCAGATAAACAAAACACAACCCCCCCCCCCCCCCCCCGCGTGGCCTTAACAGACTGTTTGGGCAAGGGCTGTTAGCGAGCACCTATGAAGGCCGATACGGCGCACAAAGGGGGTGGGCAGCACCACGCCTGGCCGCCTTTGTGTCTCCAGGGCTGGTGTTTACGCACCGGGTGCCCATTTAAGGCCTAGTCGACCTGGAGTAGACCGGTTCACATCTTGGTCACCGATGTTGACTGAGTGGAAATTGAACTCTGGTCACAGAGTTTATATAGCAGTGTGCTAACCACTTCGCCACCGCTCCCAGCACTACATATGCGCACACACAAATACACAAGTTTTCACGTTTTGCTAAATCTGTCTTGAATTAAATACAAATGTAATTTTCCCTGCGCGGACCACTCGACAGGAGGGAAATTGAACAGGGAGCCCCATGGAAGACTTTGCACAGGGGCCCATGTCAACCACGCTACTACGTCACTAGTGCCTGGTGAAGGCGTTACAGGACAGGTCGACGTTCTGGCCCCAGACCCGAAATAAGAGCAACCTCTGCTGTGAAATTGTGTTTTGCGCGCGCGTTTAAGGACATGGATTGGCATCCAAACGCCTCGGCATCTCGCGGCGCCTCGCGTAGCACCTCGGGCACAACCGTTCCATTGGCCTCCTGCAGTCTAGCAGGCAAGGGGACCCCCAGGGGCAGCTGTCCCTGTGTGCCGGCACAAGGTGTTGACAGCAGTAGGGGGGATGGGTGGGTGGAGGGTGATCGTTAGACGAGGTGTCCCAGCCAACCTGCCCGTGGCGACATGCCGTCGAAACAGAACGACTCCACCCTGGACGGAACCTGCTCCGCCCGATGGGCCAAAAGAAACCACCGACAAGTTAAACGCGATTCATAATTCGTTTATTTTTGGGCTAGACAGCTTTGTGCAGGGGTCAGTAACCTGCGGCTCTGCAGACGCATGCGGGGCTCTTGAAGGACTGCTTTGGTGGCATCATTATGAAGGACCGTCTCGTATTCACGTGCATTGCGGCTCTTGAAATATTTAGGGGTTTTTTTTCTTCCGAATTCTAAATGAATGGAGCTTGTTATTTTGGTTGCAAACCCCTGACTTAGTAGGTGCAATGTCAATCCTTCACGATAACCAAATGAAATCAAGTTGTCACGTGGGCGCAAATGTGGCAATTGATTTGGGTTGAACACGCCATTTGATAGACCGGATCAATTGTCATACTTGCCCAACTTGATTCGAGGTGACGTTCACTCGTGAGTGAAGCAGCCTGTGCGTGGCATTACTATTATCACGGTTATTACACCGGCGGTATTAACCAGGGCGACCGCTGTATTCGAACCGCGGACTTCTGCATTAGGCGCCGAACGCTCTACAGCGGCTGGTCCGCGTGTATGTTGTGTGCCGTCAGTGGTCTTAGACATCGAGCTATGTAGCAGGCAACCTGGGTTCAATTGGTGACCACGTAGGCTGCGACCAATGTTACTCATTAATCGAGTTTTGGGTTTGATCGCGTAAATATGAATGTGTCGTTAAATCCGCCACCACCCGACAAGCCAATTTAGGAAGGGTTGTCACGTAGAAAAAAAAAAACATGCCAATGAGTTGCTCGTCCAGCAGATTAGTGTGTTGGAGAGTAAACCCACAACATTTACAATTCGAGTACGTATTCTAAAGAAGCTAACCCCCTTTTCTTGATGACGACCGCTTGTGTTGTGATCGAAACGTAGTTTTTTTTGTTATTTTCTTGGAACCTATCTACGTGACTTTACCGAAACACCCAAAGAATATGAATTCCCGCAGTCACGAAAGCTGTAAGTCAAGATTTAATTCGAGTACGTTTCGCTGGTAATTACAACCAGCTTCATCAGGCGATAGCCAGAATTGAGGATAATTCCTCCTGTTTCGGTCTTGAATGGGTTCAATTCCCATCAGTGGGTTTCACCAGCGGCGCGTCTTCTCATTCCGTGCTGAGCCTTCTCTGGGTAAGCCCAACTTTTAACCGCATGCCTGGTGGGGGCGGAGGACATCGGCATTGAGGAGACAAAGGCGGCCGGGTGTGGTGTTGGCCGCCCACCCTTCTCATGGGCCATACCAGCTTTCATAGACGCTCACAGCCCTTGCCCAACCGTGTGTGAAGGCTATACGGGTGTTTTTTTGTGTATATTTTGATGATGCTTTACCCAGGAAAGCCCATTACCGAGTCTCGACTTTTTCAGGAAGCTACTGCCAAGTCTTCTCAGTAGGGGGCGATAGCTGCCCTGAAGGCATTGAAACCTGTCACCTTGACCAATTGGGTTCAATTCCCGATAAATAAAGCTAGCGGTTCCTGATATTTGGACATGTTGTGGGCCACCTCTACGTTAACTCGGCCGTAAAACATCTCACGCGCAGTGCCCACCTTAACAGGTAACGGCCGACTACATATCGACCGCGATGGCCTCGCCGACCTTTTCAATACTTTAAGCGAGTTGGGGAGACGACCAACCTTCCCCTCCAAAAGTTCTGGATGATAAGCGTGCACCACAACCATACCTGAATATACGTACCTGTACAGCGCAATTTACAATGCTTTCCAATTTTGTAATTGGCACAAAACAGTTCACGGACATAAAATGAGTCCCGTGGCTGATGTCGGTGTCAGTCGAATTCTGTGGGCAAAATCGGTGGGGCCTTCAAGAGAGAGCACTTGCCCTACGAGAGGCGAGGCGTTAAACGAAGGCCGCCTCACCTTTCACAAAGGCCTCGCCTGCTACACAGGAGGGCGTGGGTTCGATCCCTGGACCTTGACGCCTGCTGTGTATTGGACTTTGCTCTCTCTCCGCGTGGATTTTTCTCCGGTTCCTCCGGTTTTTTGGCTCCCTATTTAGATTGAGACCTCCTTTGCCAGTAACAAGATATAGTAATAGGTTTTACCCTTTTAACTGGCACAAACTGACACCTTTATTCAAGGCATCATGTTTGCAATAACCACAACACAAGCAGTCAAAATGCAAACAAAAGAGACGACTCTGATAATATGCACTGTCCTTGAATTTGATTGGTCCACATCCGAGATGGCTTTTCTTAGAGCCTAGTCTCCACTGGTGTTACATATTATTATCAGAGTTGTCTCTTTTGTTTGCATTTTGACTGCTTGTGTTGTGGTTATTGCAAACATGATACCTTGAATAAAGGTGTCAGTTTTTGTGCCAGTTAAAAGGGTAAAACCTATTACTATATCTTGTTACTGGCAAAGGAGGTCTCATAATGTAAATGCTCACCCCGAGCCCTCAAAACTCTGTGCGCTGTTTTTGAGTTGTATGCCTTTTGGCGTCATCTGGTCCAACACCAGTGGAGACTAGGCTCTAAGAAAAGCCGTCTCGGGTGTGGACCAATCAAATTCAAGGACAGTGCCAATATTATTATCAGAGTTGTCTCTTTTTGTTTGCATTTTGACTGCTTGTGTTGTGGTTATTGCAAACATGATGCCTTGAATAAAGGTGCCAGTTTTTGTGCCAGTTAAAAGGGTAAAACCTATTACTATTCCTATTTCGAATCAACATCACGCGTTTATTGAGTTTTTGGCTACTGGTTTAAATTTCCAAATGAGCCACTTCGTTGAGATTATCATTTCTGACCAGGTAGCTTCTGATAAAGAGCTCTATATCTTAGTGGGCCTTACCTGGTAAAATAAAATTGTTTAGTTTTGATCCACTTGCTGGATTAAATCCTCCCCATGCCTTTTCGGTCGTACATCGCCACGGCTGGTCAGTGCGGGTTGGGAGGCGGGCAGCGTAGATGTTGGGAAGCATACAAGTACAGTACAACAATGGACTTGGCTGCAATGGAGAATTGCGTGGAGTAAACGGTGTGTTGGGTGTTTGACAAATCAAATTGGCACGCACACGACTGGTGACGGATTGGCAGCGTAACTACGGAACGGGTCCAAGAGGACCGCCGCCTCTGAGACGGGTAACGACGAAGACGACGTTTCGTGTGCAGCAGCAGATTGAATGCACTCGACCGCCAGGGATGGTGATGGCACGGGGAGGCCTTCATAGAGAGACTAAACTATTTTTTTTATTTAACCAGGTAAAGGCCACCGAGCTAAGCAGGTATTTTTCAGATGCGACATGGCCACAAATGATAGCTCAAGTGGCTTATCGTGTGGAAATGCATAGCAGCCAAATACGCCGAACGAATGTTTCTAAATGCGGAGGGAAAACCCACGCGACCACGGGGAGAACACACAAACTCCAATCACGGGAAGGATGTTATTAACCAGGTAATGCCTTCACTGGTTGTGATTGTTTCCATCCTACCTGCCGTTTACTAGTAAATTTTATTTCCCCCCCCCACCCCGTGTCCCACACTCAGCTTCCCACTTCTAGCCCCCCCCCCCAGCCTCACGTCCTCTTCCCCTAGCGCTCACGCAGCCCCCCTTCCCTTACCCCCCCCCCATCTCAGTATGTCGCCAATGTAATGTTTGTAGACCCCTTCATTTCATGTCCTCGCCTTCCATACTCCAGGTACCTTATTTCACGTATGTGTATAAAGATATTTAGACTCGCTGGTCTCGTCCTGAAACTGCAATGAAAAAGCACCGGGGGAGGCAGCTATCACATCTGCCTCACTGAGGGGGACGTCTAACACGCCCCCCTCAGTGAGGCCACGCCCATCGAGGCCACGCCCCCCCTGTGTGAATCTGGCTCTTAACACGAGCCAATGCCTCCCCAGCCATTGGCCTCACCGCACGTCACTGACACACGGCACATCCTCATGCGTCATTCACACGTACACAACACAGTGCTCCGGACAAGATTTTTTTTTCGGGGGGGGTGGGGGGTGGCGACCTTTTATTTCAAGAGCGACACTTTTCAACAACAGCGTATGGTATGAAGTTATAATCGGTGTTAAAACTACCCCCCCCCCACCACCGTTTGCGAGGGCTTCGGTGGACAGGTTGGCAAAGTCGTGTATACTGAACTTCTTTCGCACCGTACGCAACCAACCGTGCTCCTTGGAGGTGTGTGGGGAAGGACAACAAACTAAACACAAAAGTCAGTTCTCAGGAAATGAGTTCAATCTACATTTGAATGTGCGTAGCTCCGGTGGCTTCATCTCGGAAGAGCGTTCCGGACGGCCACAGAGGCGCATCTCAAAGAGCGCGACGCAGTGAGCATCTTTATTCGATGGCGAGACACAAGCCGCTGAGGATGGACTGGAGTTCACGTGATGGCTTATGCTCCTTGATGTGATCAGGAAGGTGTTGTGGTGGTTCATTTGTGGCAAGCACTTTGTGTGTGCAACGAGTGCTCCCATTTGTTTCAAACCGACCTGCATCGTTCGACCGATACGACTCAAAATACAAAGGGTAAAGGCGCAGCCCTGCAAGTGCTCGCTCAGCTCTGGAATCGAGGACCTCTGTCCTCGTGAACCCTGCTGGGAGTTTGGTCTACGCTGACCGGGCGAGTTGGACAAGGTGTGCGTACCCACGCTAACAATTTTATTTTATAAAGCGCTTTTCAAATCGAAGGCATCTTAATGCGCCATACATAAAAAAAATCTGTATATAAAGGACCATAAAATAACTGCACATTACCCCATCCATCACACGCGATCTGCTGATGCACCGCGGCGAACCCATTTATTTCCGCCGGGCAAAGAGCGGCGCGGCAGTGGATTTCGTAAAACTTTTCCCATTGCTTTTTGAGTGCCGCACTGGAAGAAGAATCAAACCCGAGTGGAATTCTGGATTGCAAGTCCGGTGCGCTAAATCATTACACCACCGTGACAGCTCTTAAGATTTGCCGAAACATTACATTCCAGCAACCTCCAAACATTGCAGATTACAACCCTGCCCCCAGGGAAGTGGTTAAAAAAACATTTCTCGCATTTCGGGTCAAAGACGGTTGCGCCAAACCCGAGATTAATTTCTCGCGAAGAACGCGGCCAGCCCACGAGCTTAGCCCTGTCCCCACGAGCTTAGCCCTGTCCCCACGAGCTTAGCCCTGTCTCGGCACCGGGCTACGGCGCTGGGCGAGCACGCGCCGTAATTGCCGCGCATGCAAATTGGCCGGTGATTAGAGGGGGCGTCGGCCGTCGCGGGCAAGAAGGGACGGTGCTTGCTCGCTCCGACAGGCTCGCCGATCCTCCCGTCTTGTTTGCTTGCGCGCCGTGGGAAGGGCGGCGGCGGCGGCAGCGGTTGTTGGCCACGGCAGCGCCGGCGATGTTTTCGTTCCGTACCCCAGCGTGTGGGTGCACGGCCCAACGAGATCCCGGCGAGCCCAAGGTGGCGTCGGCTTGCGCCAAAGGTCGTTGGAAGCGTCGCGGCGGTCACAGGGCGCACACGGTGGGGTTGGGGAGGGGTAATTGGGGCAATTGCGGATGCCCCCCCAAAATGCTTGTATGGTCTTGCCATTTACCCATGTTTGCGTTTCCAGAAATTAGAAACTCTGTATTTGGTTCGGTAGAAACTATTTCCCGTCTGAAATGTGTACCTGGTTGCGCAACTGCCGGTGGTACCTGCAGTGGAGCTGTGGTGCCAGCAGTGGCGTTGGCGGTGGTCCTTCGTTCTGGAAACTTACCGTGGAGGTTGTGCAACGCAGTCAAATGGAGCAGCGGCTTCCTGGCCAGGCTCTATCCAGTGCCCGGACACGAAGAAAGACCCTCTCCACATAACTGATTTCAAATGGTGCTAGACCAGGCATACGGAACTCTAAACACCAAGAGAAATCAGTCATCTGGGTGGGGCTGGGCACTACCAGCTTGAGTGCCGCCGTGGTGGGCCTGGGTGAGGCTGTGTTGACGGGGCGAGGTTCGGCGGTGGCACGGCGAGGCCGGGTATTGGTGGCGTAGGCGGCTGGCTGGCTTGGTCCCAGCAGCAAGAGCAGCTCAGATGCCGAGCGAAGTTCACCGCCGCAATGCCGTAGCCAAGGGCCCTCCGCTCGCCAACAAAGTCTTGACTGATGTAACCAGGCACGACTGATATAACCACGTACGCGCGCCCGACTTCCTTGAGAAGGACCGTGGGCAAGAACCGCACGCTGCCCCTCGAGCTGCAAAGAACCCCGTGCCCCCCCCCCCGAGCCACATCTGGCAGGCCGCAAAACGCGTCGGCAGCAATGCCAGCGACGCTGTCACACTTTACCGACGACGATGCGGCTGCGGCAACCGAGAATGAAGGTCGCGCACGGATAGGTCCCACCGCTGGCTTCCACCTTGTGGGGATCACAATTGATGCCAGTGTAACTTTTGACGATTCTCATGCGGCCGGGGGTTGTGTGTGACCGTGTGGCAGGTGCAAAGTTTTTATTTATCTGGGGACTCCTCGCCCCAATGCTTCAATGACGGTCTCTAGGCTGGCGCGGCTCACCGATGAGCTGTAACGATGGCGAGGATCATTTCAGCACACTGGGCTGGCTCTTGGCTAGGCGTGTGTGCACACGGCTCACCAATCAGTACGATTTGGACCTTAATCACGTTCGTCTTGCCCGGATGCAATCGCGAAATGTATTTACTTTTTTGGCTTTCTACGGCGGTGTGTATATCTAGATGCACACTGCGACAATGCGCCTTGCGACAATGCTGGGCTACCCTTGGCAGTCTGCGTACTCCGTCAACGCTCGCCGACGAACTGGTCCGAGGTCGGCTCGCGGCCGAATCTCTCGCAGCACGTCGCCAGCTGTCGCGGACGCGGCCGTAATGTTCGCCGTCTAGTGAAGTATGTCCAACTCCAGGGACACCGATTTCATATGGTGCTAGAGAAGGAACATCACAGTCTAAGCCACCACGTGAAACCAGCTCCCAGGAGCAGAAGGATCTGTGGTGGTGGTGGTGGTGCGGTGTGGGGGGTGGGGGAGAGATGTCGACGGCGGTGAAGATCGGCGGCCCGAGGATGGCGACCCCAGGGTGCAGGTGTCGCGCGGTCGACCGGCCTGCCAACGTCAACAACACAGCAAGGCCACCATCATATCGTCGTCACATCAACCGCCCTCGTCAGATCATCCACCTTGTCGTGAGATCAATGAGCATCGTCTGTGCCCCTGTGTTTCACTCGCGTGTGACGGGTTACTCACCCCATCCCATCCCCCAGAGTGATTTGACGATCTGTCGTGATTCGGGTGTTACAATAAATTTTGAATTTTTTAAGAAACGAATCTTGAAATATTTTTTTCCTGTCACCGAGTGTTTACCGTCTCGCTCGTGTGTGTTTTTTTTTATTCGTTCGTACCCCCACCCCAACCGCGACGAATCACCTGGCCAAGGGAGAATCGCTGCTTGCCTGACGATCACCACATCCTGACCACTGTACCTGAACACTGTACGTATATTGTCGTTATTTTTACACCGATGACTAAAGGTTCAGCAATTGCTTGCTTGCGCCGCCACTGGCAAACGCCCCCTCACTCGAGCCGACTACAGTAGCTGTCGGCGTGCCCACGCCTTCCATAGGTTTCACCAGATGTGTGGTGTCCCCACAATCTACCTCACCGCACGTGAACTGCCGATTACAAGACTGTGGCGTAACCCATTTATGCTGCTGGGTGGACAGCGGTGGTGGAGGTGGGGATTTATCATCAACCTCCGCGCCGGGAGATTGAACCAGTGGCTTGGCAGCGCGGTGCAGCTAACCATGACAGCCACCGGCGGGGCAGCGTCGATGCGAGCTTCAAAAACTCTCGCTCGTCGATAATCTGACGCGAATCGGCCACGACGCAACATTTAGCAAATGTCAAGATTCGTCGCCCACGCCAATTTGCACACAGCCACCGGGCTCGTCGTTGTCACTGCCGCCCGGCCGCAGCGCTCGCCCATAACCATCGCCACCGCAAGAGCAAACATTCGGACGGCTCCACCCGTTGTATAAAAGCGCCGCTCAAGACGATGCCCGCTCCCCTTCGTTATCCGGGCACCGTGGGTGAACAAGTGCAGCTGTGCGAAAGTCTGCGCCGGACCCTCCTCCTCCTGCTCCTCCTCGCGTCACCGACTGGGCGTCAGCGCCCCCGAGGGGAGCGTTGCGTTGCGCCGCTGACAATTCTTTTTTTTTTCTACAAAACGAGTTTCCCAGGAACTAACTAAACGCCCTGCGTGCTCCGTGGGAGCCACAGACCTGAGGCTCTGGGCTCCGCCAACAAACAAATATCGACCCACGCAGCACAAACCTGAGCTGACTTCACGGGGTTTTTTTTTTAAAGCTTAATTAGCAAACGGAGGTGGAAAGCTCTGAAGTGCGTGTGCGTTGTTGTTGTTGTTGGTCGTTGCGTGCGTTGTTGTTGATGTTGTTGCAGCGTGCGTTGTTGATGTGGGTCGTTGTTGTTGTTGGTCGTTGCGTGCGTTGTTGTTGTTGTTGTTGGTCGTTGCGTGCGTTGTTGTTGTGGTCGTGGCGTGCGTTGTTGTTGTTGTGGTCGTAGCATGCGTTGTTGTTGTGGTCGTGGCGTGCGTTGTTGTTGTTGTGGTCGTAGCATGCGTTGTTGTTGTGGTCGTGGCGTGCGTTGTTGTTGTTGTGGTCGTGGCGTGCGTTGTTGTTGTTGTTGGTCGTTGCGTGCGTTGTTGATGTTGTGGTCGTAGCGTGCGTTGTTGTTGTTGTTGGTCGTTGCGTGCGTTGTTGATGTTGTGGTCGTAGCATGCGTTGTTGTTGTGGTCGTAGCGTGCGTTGTTGTTGTGGTCGTGGCGTGCGTTGTTGTTGTGGTCGTGGCGTGCGTTGTTGATGTTGTTGGTCGTGGCGTGCGTTGTTGTTTGGCGTGACCCCCCCCACGCCGACGTTTCCCTCCAAGTGCCGAACCATGGCGGTGCAGGTGGGGGGGGGGAGAGTGGTTGAATTGTTACACGTGTGGTTTCTCAGTTTAATTACCAGGTAGGGCCCACTGAGCTATTCAGCTAATTTTCAGAAGCGACCTGGCCACAAATGATAGCGCAACCAAGCGACTTCTCACCTGGAAATGTATCGCAGCCAAATACTCTAAACGCGTGTTTCTGAATGTAAAAGGGAAATTCCGCCGCCCAAGACGACCACGGGGAGCGAGAGAACAGGAAAACTCCAAATATCCAGCAGCAGACGTCAGGGTCAGGATCGAACCCACGACCTCCTGCATACCAGGCGAGGGAGATAACATCTTCATAACCACCGTGGCACCCAGGCATCGCAACCAATGGTATCGTTTGCCGGCTGTCGCAGCCAAATACCCCAACGGAGCGGCGGGATCCTCCTGACAGAAGAAGCCTTGGGACTCGGCGAGGCTTTCCCGGTAATTTCGTTCGTCGTCTTCGCCAGCATCAGCCAGGCTCAATCCGCTGCTGGACGAAGGCCCTCCCCCCAGACTGCCGCCGGAGCCACCTCACCGACGATCCTGCGGCGACGAGACGATCCGCGCGGCCACCGGCGCGTGGAGGTGCGAGGCGTTGGATCGATCATTCGGGAAGTCGTCATTCCTTACACATTTACCTGCACCAGTCGGGCACGGTCCCGCCGCACCCGGGGCGCAAGCGTCGCGCACCTGTGGAGGCAGCCAAAGCCTCCGGCGGCACCTGGAAGGGGGGGGGGGGGCACGCACGCGCAGGCACCTGTGTAAATTGCACCGGGAGGACACACCTGTACGAGGCATGCGCAGGTGAACACACCTGTGTAAGTAATACAGGGTGCTCACGCAGGTGAACACACCTGTGTAAGTAATACAGGGTGCTCACGCAGGTGAACACACCTGTGTAAGTAATACAGGGTGCTCACGCAGGTGAACACACCTGTGTAAGTAATACAGGGTGCTCACGCAGGTGAACACACCTGTGTAATACATGGTGCTCACACAGGTGAACACACCTGTTTAAGTAATACACCTGTATGGGTAGCGTATGGAGCACACAGGTAAACACACCTGCGCGGGCAGCTGCGCGGGTTGAAGGAAGTTGGTGCCAGCATCTGGGCACGGCCACCGCACGGGAGTCCCCGGGGGCGCCGGCGTGAGTAAACTTGCTCACGCCGTGAAGCGAACAGAAACCTGAAGAGACGGAAAGGTGCGCGCAAGCGACAAGACGTTAGCAGCGGCGGCGACGACATCGCACGACAACATCGAACGATGGCCCTTGACGTTGGCGCTTCAACGCCAATGCAGGCGACGCGGCCTCCCAAGACTCCCGACTGATCCACGCTCGCTGACCCACCCGCCCACTCGCTCGCCACACTGCAGGTCATGCCGCTCCCCTCGCTCGCACTGCCCACCCCCCCCCCCCAACTTTGAAACTCGACTCCCATTGTTGTCTCTTTCCTCCTCCCAAGCTCTTGCAGGAATAACGTAGCTCAACAAGCGCATCGACTCCTTTAAAACTCCACATGGATCTCGCGCCTTCGACGGTGCCGCTTGTCGCTGGCCGCTTGGCGTTATGGGACATTTGGGCCTGCGCTTGGCAACAGCGATTGAAATAAAAAAAAATACGTCAACAAACAATTGAGCTGTTGGCGCTTTGTAAAGACCGAATCGACCAATTCGTACCGCGCGTTATTCGGCACGACACCTTCCTCAAGACGAGCCCGGCAACGCGGTCGCGAAACGTCGGACATCGCGCCGAACAACACGCGGCAAAAACAACACCAAAAACGCGTCTTAGAACAATTGATGACGATGGCGATGACGATGACGACGACGATTACAAACGTCGACTACGAAGCCACTAAGGCATACGACACTCAACGGCTTACATTGACGCCGGTGTTGTACAAAGGGGGGGGCTCACGTTGACGCTGGTATTGTATAAAGGGGGGGGCTCACGTTGACGCAAGTGTTGTATAAAGAGGGGGGCTCTGGCGATGCGGGTGCTGACGGCTGAGCGGCGCCTTGGGAATCCTCGCTGCCGATGCACCTGGCGCTCTCGCCGGGCGGTTCGAGGCAGGTGCGGGCAAACTCGGGCCGCTCACCCCGCTCACCCCGCTCACCCCGCTCACCCCGCTCACCCCGCTCACCCCGCTCACCCCGCTCACCCCGCTCACCCCGCTCACCCCGCTCACCCCGCTCACCCCGCTCACCCCGCTCAACCCGCTCACCCCGCTCACCCCGCTCACCCCGCTCACCCCGCTCACCCCGCTCACCCCGCTCACCCCGCTCACCCCGCTCACCCCGCTCACACCCGCTCACCCCGCTCACCCCGCTCACCCCGCTCACCCCGCTCACCCCGCTCACCCCGCTCACCCCGCTCACCCCGCTCACCCCGCTCACCCCGCTCACCCCGCTCACCCCGCTCACCCCGCTCACCCCGCTCACCCCGCTCACCCCGCTCACCCCGCTCACCCCGCTCACCCCGCTCACCCCGCTCACCCCGCTCACCCCGCTCACCCCGCTCACCCCGCTCACCCCGCTCACCCCGCTCACCCCGCTCACCCCGCTCACCCCGCTCACCCCGCTCACCCCGCTCACCCCGCTCACCCCGCTCACCCCGCTCACCCCGCTCACCCCGCTCACCCCGCTCACCCCGCTCACCCCGCTCACCCCGCTCACCCCGCTCACCCCGCTCACCCCGCTCACCCCGCTCACCCCGCTCACCCCGCTCACCCCGCTCACCCCGCTCACCCCGCTCACCCCGCTCACCCCGCTCACCCCGCTCACCCCGCTCACCCCGCTCACCCCGCTCACCCCGCTCACCCCGCTCACCCCCGCTCACCCCGCTCACCCCGCTCACCCCGCTCACCCCGCTCACCCCGCTCACCCCGCTCACCCCGCTCACCCCGCTCACCCCGCTCACCCCGCTCACCCCGCTCACCCCGCTCACCCCGCTCACCCCGCTCACCCCGCTCACCCCGCTCACCCCGCTCACCCCGCTCACCCCGCTCACCCCGCTCACCCCGCTCACCCCGCTCACCCCGCTCACCCCGCTCACCCCGCTCACCCCGCTCACCCCGCTCACCCCGCTCACCCCGCTCACCCCGCTCACCCCGCTCACCCCGCTCACCCCGCTCACCCCGCTCACCCCGCTCACCCCGCTCACCCCGCTCACCCCGCTCACCCCGCTCACCCCGCTCACCCCGCTCACCCCGCTCACCCCGCTCACCCCGCTCACCCCGCTCACCCCGCTCACCCCGCTCACCCCGCTCACCCCGCTCACCCCGCTCACCCCGCTCACCCCCGCTCACCCCGCTCACCCCGCTCACCCCGCTCACCCCGCTCACCCCGCTCACCCCGCTCACCCCGCTCACCCCGCTCACCCCGCTCACCCCGCTCACCCCGCTCACCCCGCTCACCCCGCTCACCCCGCTCACCCCGCTCACCCCGCTCACCCCGCTCACCCCGCTCACCCCGCTCACCCCGCTCACCCCGCTCACCCCGCTCACCCCGCTCACCCCGCTCACCCCGCTCACCCCGCTCACCCCGCTCACCCCGCTCACCCCGCTCACCCCGCTCACCCCGCTCACCCCGCTCACCCCGCTCACCCCGCTCACCCCGCTCACCCCGCTCACCCCGCTCACCCCGCTCACCCCGCTCACCCCGCTCACCCCGCTCACCCCGCTCACCCCGCTCACCCCGCTCACCCCGCTCACCCCGCTCACCCCGCTCACCCCGCTCACCCCGCTCACCCCGCTCACCCCGCTCACCCCGCTCACCCCGCTCACCCCGCTCACCCCGCTCACCCCGCTCACCCCGCTCACCCCGCTCACCCCGCTCACCCCGCTCACCCCGCTCACCCCGCTCACCCCGCTCACCCCGCTCACCCCGCTCACCCCGCTCACCCCGCTCACCCCGCTCACCCCGCTCACCCCGCTCACCCCGCTCACCCCGCTCACCCCGCTCACCCCGCTCACCCCGCTCACCCCGCTCACCCCGCTCACCCCGCTCAACCCGCTCAACCCGCTCAACCCGCTCAACCCGCTCAACCCGCTCAACCCGCTCACCCCGCTCACCCCGCTCACCCCGCTCACCCCGCTCACCCCGCTCACCCCGCTCACCCCGCTCACCCCGCTCACCCCGCTCACCCCGCTCAACCCGCTCACCCCGCTCACCCCCCTCACCCCGCTCACCCCGCTCACCCCCCTCACCCCGCTCACCCCGCTCACCCCGCTCACCCCGCTCACCCCGCTCACCCCGCTCACCCCGCTCACCCCCGCTCACCCCGCTCACCCCGCTCACCCCGCTCACCCCGCTCACCCCGCTCACCCCGCTCACCCCGCTCACCCCGCTCACCCCGCTCACCCCGCTCACCCCGCTCACCCCGCTCACCCCGCTCACCCCGCTCACCCCGCTCACCCCGCTCACCCCGCTCACCCCGCTCACCCCGCTCACCCCGCTCACCCCGCTCACCCCGCTCACCCCGCTCACCCCGCTCAACCCCGCTCACCCGACCCGCTCAACCCGCTCACCCCGCTCACCCCGCTCACCCCGCTCACCCCGCTCACCCCGCTCACCCCGCTCACCCCGCTCACCCCGCTCACCCCGCTCACCCCGCTCACCCCGCTCACCCCGCTCACCCCGCTCACCCCGCTCAACCCGCTCAACCCGCTCAACCCGCTCAACCCGCGACGCACACGAAATGGCCCCACCACTCCCCCACCCCGTTCAGTCATTAACGGATGTGTCACTGTTCTTGGCGCAGAGGTTCAAAGCGGCGAGGGGGAAGCGCGTACGTCAACAGCGACGACGACCCCGAGCGAGCGCGACGGACGAGAGTTACGAGAGGTGGGGGGGGGGGGGGGAGGTTGGAAGAACGAATTCACGTTACGGTCCTCCAGCAGCTCACCCCCCCCTCGACGTGATTAATTTCTCTGTAGAAGCACGAAGATGGAAGCGTGCAAAAGGCGACAACGCCGCGGCGTCCGTCCCACGCGCCAACGGCGCGGGAGCGAAATTCAACCGACCTCTTGACCCTTGACCCCCCGAGCAATAGCGACCACGCACGGGCAACGCCACAACGCTCGCCGTTCGCCGTTCGACTTTCCCCCCGCGAACACCACGTGGGCGACAACTGGGATTGGGGCTCCCGATTGCCGCGAGCGAGCCGCCCGGTGACCCGCTCGAGCCGCCCGGTGTGGCCCGGGAGCTCGGCACCTCCGCAGGATGCCCCACCGACCTACCGCAGCGGCAACCGCATCGTTGAGACTCCGCCGCGGCCACTGCCGCTGCAACCGCTTTCCAAAAATCAATCGCCCGTCGGAGCAACGCGCCGGCGCCGCTCGAGAGACATAAACCGCCGTCGACCGCGAATCAAACCTGGGCACAACATCGCGACCGTCGATTTTCTTGAATGCGGAAAATCGCAGATCCCACGGCGGCAAATCCACGTGGTCAAGCGATCGTGGTCAAGCGATCGTGGGCGACGAAGGGAAGGGGTGGGGAGGGGGGTGGAGGGGGCGGTGGAAGGAGAACCCCCAGCGATGGCGACGGCGGCAGCGGCTTCGGTGGCGTCGCGCAACATCCTGGTTCGGCCGTCGACCCAGGCGTTTAATTGCGTCAGATTGCCAAGGGGTGACGGGAGAGGTGCGGCGGGCAGGGCCGTGGCAGCAGGGGAGGGAGGGAGGGTGGTGGTGGATGCTGAGGGAGCACGGTGGGCGGGTGGAGATGGGTGTGAACTTGGCAATTCCCCCACAAATGAAGTGGGGGAATTTTTTTTGTTCTGATCTTAGCCGCGGGTACGCCTACGCCCACGCACACACACACACACAGGATACATACCCGCACGTAGACGAACACGCGCGCACTCACACGAACATGCGCCCGCACGCATAAAAACACGTGCTTAAACACAACAGGGACACGCACGCACACGGAGAATCGCACGACAAGTGCTGTTACCGCGGAGCGCCTATGAGGTGGGTGGCCGACACCACGCCCGGCCGCCTTTGTCTCCCAAGTACTGATGTGTACTACACACCGCACCAGGTACTCATTTAAAACTTGAGGGGGAGGCCCAGGACTGGTTTCAAATATTCGGCCACTCTTATTGGCCGTGGGCAGGAATCGAGCTCGGGTCGCCGGAGCTCGTAGCGCAGCGCGCCGACGACCGCGCCGCCGCGTAAACA